TGTTCTAATTATCATTTTAATAATTTATTTGGGACTCGTTTGCATGTTTTTAAAAAAAGTGAGACTATGGTTGCAATTTGTTCTTTCTTTTCTTTTTATTTTATTTAAAGAAAATTGTATATTCGTCATTTCGCAGCTTTTAATTGAGAAATTTGATGAAAATGACCGTTTGTGCAATGAAAAGTAGAAGGATGAAAATGTCAAAAAATAAAAGATATTGACGTTTTCCACAAAAATAATAAAAAGTAAAGATAGTGGTGGCAAGGCTCGGCTCGGTCCATCTACCCACAAGCTAAGCTCGTCAAAGTGACAAGCTGAGCTCAAGCTCGGGCTCAAGGGTCGAGCTCAGCTCAGCCCACGAGCTCACGAGCCAAGCCCATGAGCTGATCGATTTGAGCTGATGCGCCCATTTTGACATCCTTAACTGAAGGTATTGAAAACACGATTTGAATTTTACAATTAGACATTCTTTTCATAACAGAGATAAATCGGATTAAAGGAAGAATGAGGATAGTGAAGTGTAGAAACAGATCTGGAAATAATAAATAGTGAGTGCAGCTACCAATTCCAACGGCCTCTTTTCCATTAGAACATATATACCAATTATTCATCTGAATCTGATCATGTCAGATGGTTACGACTGGATCCGACCAATGACCAGATACCACATAACACTATTCATTTGTTCCCCATAACAATGGCATCTGGGTCACACGTGATCCATCCATGTGACCATACTTCTCTAAATATATAACCATTTATCAAATTAATTCATGCATGTGTCTGTATTTATAGCAATATTTATTGTAATGCATTCCAATTTTAAAGGCAACCCACCCCCCATGGCTCGACCCTCAAGACGGGTACCGTTTCCCGTGAGTAACAGTGTATATACTCTCTTGCACCTATCTCCTCTTGTAGACACGTGTGCTTTTAAGGGACCATCCATCTAACTCAAATTTTCACACGATGTGTCGCCTCGTGTGCCAAATCAGTTTGGTTTGGTAGGTTCAAATCAAATCATCGTGTATTTATGAAAATTATGTACTTGCTTGTTAAAGTATATATTGTTAGGAATAATCTAAATTGAAAATTGAAGTGTGCTCTAATGGGATACAGCCTTTTCTTTAAAAGAAACGAAAGCGTGCATTTTTAATATTGAATAGTAAAATGTGGGGGATTTTTATTAGCCTATGGATTGGCTCCATTGAAGAAAAGATCTCTCTCTCTCTCTCTAGCCTACCAATAATTGAAGTTTAGAAAGACTTAGTTTATTTCAGTTAAGTTATCAATGATGGAGGGGGGCCTAATAAACCTAGTGGACTCCATCTTTCCACGTCCAAAAGAACTTAGGTTGTCAAAGAACTTGGAGGCATGTTAGTGTCCCCATTGCAAAATCCATGTGTTTTCTTCACATCAAACTCTCTCTCCCCTTTAAGTGGATTCCAACTCCTCATTCAACTATTTTTAGATTCTTTACACCTAGCTAGTGGGTGGGTTTCCCTTTCACAACCTAATCAAAAGAAAATTAAAGCTCATTATTCTTTTTTTGAGTCGCCTTATATATAGAATATATATTCTAAAAAGTTAAAAAAAAAAAAAAAAAGTAAAGTACACAATATTTGATAATAGAAGTTGGATTCACTAACCAGTAAAAAGTTGGGATCCTTCAAATCTAGGAACCCCAATCAGTACATTTGTTGTTATGTTTGGGAGCAATGGTTATGTTTGCATTGGGATGGGGAGTATTAATTGTTTACATAAATACAATCTTAGTGACTGCTGATCAATGTGGGAACCTCAAGAATATCATGCTTTCTCATCCTTGTAGTTTAGATTATTTGGTGCATGTCTTCCTAACCAAACATTGTCACAAGTTGTAGTAATATTAAGACATACGCAATTATAACAGTCGTCGAAATCTATCATTTCTTTTGAGACTAACGTTCACGACTCTCCATATTCTCAATAAGGTAATTTCATGAAATCGATTTTTACTAGAAAACCATCTTCAAGGCGTCTCATTTGCAACGATGGTCATTCTTAGAAGGATGCTTGTTCGGTTCCAATTGTTACATATCATCTTATAAAGTGAGTGTGTCCAAGTGATTATATGTCTACAAGCTAAGCCTTTATTTATTGATGTGAGACACATTTTGAAACATTACATTCGAGAAAAAAGAATCTAGTTAAATATAAAATGCGTGTCACACATGAATTTGTTAATCTTTATTCAGTGTATAGGCTTAGATGTAGGCTTCAATAGATAAAGAGTGATATAATGCTAATACAATCTACTTTCTTGAATTTCTTGTCTCAAAAGAGTGTGTAAATGTAGTTATAGTATGCATCTCAATAATGTTGCTTAAATATATTGCTAGCTACTGGCTCCCTCAGGGCCACTGAAATGAATATCCGACCGTAAACTTTAGGGTCTCGTGAGATTAGTCGAGGTGTGCACAAGCTGGCTCGAACATCCATGGTTAACAAAAAAGTATATATTTGGCTAGCTACTATATGTATTATTAATTGGCAAAGATTCAATTTGCTAATTTTTCGCCATACAACCCCACTAAGCTGTATGAGAATCAATTATTCGACTAGTTTTGTCTTCTTTTACATCTGCAAATACAACTACAGTAACTGAGAATGGCATAGTTACTCACAAAAGCAGCCCTAACTTTAACAAAGTTCATATAATTAAACTTGTTTGATCCCTCTTTTATAACTAATAATTTTTAGATGAACTCAATATGTTATCAAAGGACGTCACCGTCCGTTTTTGAAATTGGTGAACGAGTCTGCATCTAAAGGAGCGTGTTGAAGATCAAATTAAATTTAGATAAACAACTTTGTACTTGGTTCGATAATGTAAAAAGTGTCTGTTGCACACCAATTATTGATCTTGATACAAATGGATCGTCGACCACCATAGGCAACAATCTAAACTGCCCATTTGAATTCTTTTATACATAAAGAACCAATAATTTGTACTTCCTTTTCAAAGCACGCCATTGCCGACTTGACACCCTAGCTTGACTATTGAATACTTCTTACAGAACAATATTGTCCAATCGAGGCTACGTTAGAAACATGTCCTCTCATGCAAGAAACTACCTAAATATAGCAGCCCGTGCCGTGTTAATTATTTGTTCTTATAACTCAATTATTCATATCAAATGTGAAATCTGATAGATTGATTTATCCAAAAATCCCATATGGATAAAAGTAAAATTGGATGAAGATTTATTAATTAACCATCTTTTCACACCAAGGTCATAACCTTTCCTTTTTGACTCAGCATGGGGACGCTTGCAGTTAATAGAAAAGATATATATTTACATGGGTCCATATATTAATTACTTGATGAGTGAAATCATACATAAAATAATAAAAAATAATTATGAAGCTATGATCTTATCTCTATAGTATTTATAGTTGCAGAGGAGTCTGGCATTGACCGTCGTACTTGAATTAAGAATACCGGCCCAACCTTGCGACCATGGTTTATCGCTTAAAGAAAGCAAAAAGGATTTGCTCCTGGGAGAGCTTCATCGGTTTGTAATAAATGTTAGCTACAGTATTTTGTAGGTATTATCTTGGAAATGATTCATAATCCAACAAATGTATCAGCATATTATTGTTTTGTCTTTTCACCCGAATTCGATATATTCTATTTTATTGTCAAAATGATTAACTTATTAAAGAAAAAGTCGGTGTCGATCTGAAAATCCACATTGGATTACTTGGGACGTACTTGATCAAATGAGTCTTTTTTATCAAAACCAAACGCAACGCCACCATGGGTTTGCCCGAGGCCCCTCCTACACAGGTTGATTAGGGAGATGCTATTTGGAGATATAATCATGACGTTATTGAAAATGTATTTACCCTTGGATGACAATACCACCCGTAGCAAACAATCAAATAAAAGTCTTGATGACCTAACGTGCGAGGCGACATCCTAGGTCATGAATACTCGCTGCAATCGAGCTCTTTGTCAATCAAATCTCTTCAAAACGGCCGGTGGCACAAGGGACTAGGTCGAACGCTGTATTTTGACATGATTAAGACAACAAGCTCTATTTTTATGACCCATATAAAGGAATGAAGGTCGGGAAAGAAGTGGCAAATTGAGTTAGTTCTATACATCCTTATTTTATCTAATTTTCAGTTGTTTTTTAAGCAATGTAACACATTTTCTATTCAATTCTCGAAAGTTGATGAAAAGGTATCACATTATTTTTTCATTAGCAACATTGATTCAAATTTAAATTTTAACATGTTCTCTATTATTAAAGGTGTGATAGTTCACTTTTATGTGTAAATTGAACACAAGATTTGAACTTGGAGCATTTGTCTATTTCGATATCATTTTGAATTATCTTGTTTTAAAAGCTTAAAATATTAAAAGAGAGATGCATATATATATATAATGGAGCGAGAGATCACGTATCTATTTGTGTCTAATATTTGTATTTTAAAATATCTTATAATCTATTGTATCTTATCGTATTCCGTTTGCGGTTGTATATGCACAGTTATATAATCATTCTCACACAAATTGTGATTATATACATGCATAAGATATTATTGAACTTAGAAACTTTATGTGCAATTGGAAGAACCCAAAAAAGTACACCACTTCTAGAGTTCTACTTCTCAGTATATTTCTGGGACTGAGATTAAGGATGCCTGTTCTTATTCAAATTGTATAAATAAATTACTGATACAGGGTGTTGAGAGAGAGAGAAATGAAAACTTCTATGAATTAGATAACGTTGTTAAATTACAAATTTCTCCTTGTACACGCTTAATTACAAAAGTTGTACAAGGAACCTGATGCCAAGAGAGAAGATTTTCTTCTTACATCTTTTCCCTTCTCTTTTTCCCAATCATTTTCACTTCAAACATGAAAAGACTTAATTATTTCCTTAATTATGGAGTACCTAAAAGGCTAAAATACATATATGCATCTTGATTGTAATAACAAGCTGATCTCAGTTTGGTAGAGACATTTTTATCTCTTCAAGTCGTCTCCTTCTCATTCTAAAATGTCGTCTTAGAGACAGTTTCTTCGAGTCCACTAGTCGACGCAGGAATGCCATCACCTACAACATAATTGTTAAATTTACGATTAGATAATTGAATATTTAAGCCATAATAGTATTAGTAAAATGGTTTTTGTGCCAAGATTGCTAATTACCTCAGAAGGTTCCTGCAAAGAATAAGATGCATTGGTCTCTTTTGGTATCTTTGAAACAAGAATCCCAAACCCTTGACCTCTTTTTCTTAGAACCTGATTTAAGCAACCATAAATGATGAAATTAAGTAAGGAAAATTACGAATACTTACACACGTCCGTATTTCTCGGAATACGGAAATGTAATGCTAACAATATTGTACATTTCGAAGCTTTGAATACCTTAAAGGCATCTTCATCGGTGCGATCATCTCCAATGTAAACAGGAAATACATCGGCACAATTTGCATATCCTATAGAGGAAGTAGATCCATGTTAAGGATTGTATAAAGTAGTTAAGAGCTTTTCTTTATTGAACAATTCCAACAACTAAAATAAAAAGGTAACTCACCAAGTGATTCTAATAGAAATTCAAGGGCTTTGCCTTTGTCCCATTTAATAGTAGGACGAATTTCTAAGACCTGCATTTTTTTTTTAAAAAAAAATATTTTTTAGTTAAAAAAAAAAAACACTGTACAGCATGCAGGTATTACAAACTGAAAATAAATAAATTGAAGAATCTTTGTCACACCTTTCTTCCTTGGGTTAATCGAAGCTTTGGATACTCCTTTAAAACTGTTTTAACTTGCTGTGCTAGTTCAGTCCATTTCTGTAGATAAATTATTCAATCCTTCTTAATTAAGATTCAGTAGCATATACTACAGAAAGAAAAAAAAATATGTGTGGAAATATTATTTAAAGAAGCCACTTAACCATATCAAGAAAAGTGAAACAAGGTCCCATATTATTATCATGGGAGGAGAAAATAATTAACAACATGGGTCTAATTATAATTATGCTCTACCTTTTCATCAACACAGCGAAAATGCACTGAGACGCAGAATTTGTTGTTCTCCACCTTTGCACCTGGAGTCGATTTCGTTACCTCCAACAGTGTTTTGTAAACCTGTGTTTTCAAGTTAAAATTTGTTCAAAACATTGAATTTTACTAACTCTTGAATCATTACCTTAAAAAAAAAAAAAAAAACTGACCTCATCAACCATGGGAAGGAATTCACTGGCTGGTTGGCAAAGAAGAGATTGTGCATCCTGAGTATTTCAAAAAATTGTTAAGAAAAATTATTTGAGGTAAAAAGATGGAAGAGAATAGAGAGAAAGTACAATCACACAAAGCATACTTTCATGTATTTGGAACCTTTTGATGGGCCTTTTATGTCCATGCCATGGCTTCCGGCGTAGTATAACTCTGCCAAGCGTACAAAACTATACACCTATATATTTAAACAACAAAAACATTAATTAGTCCAAAACACACACAAAAGTTGCTGAAAGACACAGTCCAATTGTTTCAAGAATGTACCTTGTCTCTGCATCTCCCACTCACTATAGCAGTAGGAAAATATCTAGCTAGTTTTCTCACTGTTGCTCTCATCTGTATACACAGATTATACATACAATCAATATATACACATATATATAAAAACCAATTTTGTGTGTGTGTGTGTGTGTGTGTGTGTTATAAGGGGAGGGAACGAACCGCATCGGACATGAAGGCTCTATCAGGGTCATCCACTATAGGGGATAATGTGCCATCATAATCTAAGAACATAACGATTTGCTTTCCTTTTGATGCATTTGTTATTTCCTCGAACATGTCCAGAGCTGATGGATGGTGCACCTGTTTCACCACAAATCTCCCACGTGGTTAGAACACTGTACTGACACGTGCATACGTGTTTTATACACGTATATACGTTTGTATATACATACATCATACATATATGTATGTATAAAACAGTTCATTTTTTCATAAATACGGGGCTTACAATCCAAGAGTTTAAATCGTCAGAAAGAGCTGAGGACTTCATATGAGTGGGTGAAGAAGCTCTCATTGAATCAACCCAAGAGTTGATTCTGGCACCGCAATTGATATCAAGATTCTGAAGCTTTTTCTTTGAAATGGTAATATAATTTCCCGGCACCGCCGGAGGCTTTTGGGCCACCGGCGGGAAGAGGGAGGAGTTGGAGACCGCCACCGTTATGGCCGTATCTGAAACCATCACATTTTGGTTCGTCATCTTCTTTTCTTTCTTAAGGCGTTGGTGAAGAAACAGAGGCGAAAAACAGAGAGCTCTGTGGAGAACGATCAAGAATGGGACTCAATTGGAAGTCTTTCGGATGCAGAAAGAATGAAGAAACTCAAATTGGGTCACTCACAAAAACAAAGATTTGAAGAGGAAGGAGAGAATTGTGTGTAAGAAAGATTTGAAGCCAATCGCTTTATAGTTGAGACCGGACACAAACGGACGAAACAAACCCCGCACCCCACCACCCACAACAAGTCTTGCAGGGACCCATACTCTTGAGAGAGAAGAGGGCTTTGTGGGCCTTCCGTTTCAATATCCTCAAGGGGTCCCACCTCTAACCGCGGTCCCCACCCTCCACCGTGTTGATAATTGGTATCTACCTGCCGTCTTTGTTCGCCGTCAACATAACAGCCACCACCACTGCGCCAGCTGGGTACCAACCACCAGTGGTGTGGGCTCATGCGAGTGGGGATAGAATTTTGATTTCCTAAAATAGATCCAAAACCACAATTCACAAGTGGAGAGTCTCTTTTGGAAACCCCTTTAAATTTGTGACCTTCACAAAAATGGTAAAATTAGAAGTCCCCTTGTATGTTGCTGTAAAACTAACGGCATATGCTAAACCAGCAGCTCTTGTTCTACTTTTTCCACTACAAAATATTTGGGTCAAAACTGCATAATTTGGTATACATTATTTTATGTGGTGGCACATGAAACGGGCCATATTATTTGGTGCCAATTATGATCCCCCAAGCCATGCTTTTTGCTACTAAAGACAATATCAAATTATAATAAAAACTTCTCTATTATTAGAGTACTTAACAATATAAAGAACTCATTTCTTACTCAGGCTGAAACGAGAAGAAATCAATATTTAGAGGGTGTTTGGTGGAAATTAAAATTATATTTTTGTTAGATTATAATAGAAGTTTTTGAAATATGTGGTTAACATTGATTGTTTGACTTTAACAAGGATTAAAATTAGATTTTAATCTGGACCAAACAGTGGCTTAAATTATATGCCATTACTAGAAAATTAATTTCCTAATTCTCTTCTTCTTTACTGGTTAACAAACTTATATACTATGCTCGTTACGATGGATTGAAGAGTATTAAAAGATATTTAAAAAAATCTTATTCTTCTTCATATTGTCTAGGGATGGGCAATTACACGTCAAGCCGACCCAAATCGTCCAACATAACTGACTTTGGTTAGTTTGAGTTCTTTGCAAGGATATTCTTTCGATGTGAAGGGTAAGTTTTAAAAAATTGATTTTCAAGAGAAAAAGTTCACTTCTGCTAGACAAATCATATTGACCCAAATCAATTCGAGTCGATTCACGTGGATTCATTCATCTTGTCAGTTATATCATTAAATTGAATTAGAACATGTTCGGTGTGTAATAATAACATTATCACGTTAAGGGATGAGAATATAAATTCTAATTGTGCTAGTGTCGTCAACGTGGTTATTCCTTGTTTGGAAGGAATATGGAAGAAATTATTTATCGCTAAAAAAAGACTGAATGACCAAAATCCTGACTTAATCATTGTTATACAGAATTCGTCATTGCTTACTTCATCCTAGTCAAGGTCTTCATAGGCAAAGGTCATTGAACCCATAAATGAAGGTCTCAGGTAATATACCTCAAGTAACATGCATCGATGGTGATATTTTTATTTCTTTCTTTTGTTTTAACTTTTACAACAACTAGAAATTCCAAACGAATTTCAATTTTTGTTGAACTTTTAAAGCATTGAACAAATCAATTTTGAATTTGTACTTAAGATATTTTATATCTTCACTTAGGGATGTTTGATTGTAAAGATGAAAAATTAATGGAAAAAAATATTTTACAGGGAATTGAATTGATTAAAAATTATTTTACTGAGAATTGTAATTAATTGTGTTTGATTGGTATAATTTTCCGTCTGAAAAATGTTAAAAGTTTTGTGTTCGTTTGACTTCGTTTTTTATGGAAATTGTCCATTAAAGTGATAATTTTTTATACCATTGCGTCTAGAATTTGTTCCAATTGCCAAAAAAAATTATCATACTGAATACCAAACGTTTAGCTTTGTCTTCCATGGAAATTGTCAATAAAAATAATAAAAAATTTTACCATTGTGCCTAAAATTTGTTTTATTACCAATAATAATAATAATAAAATAGAAGAACCTAGAAAATCATTTCTCACAAAATTAAAGGAAAATCTTTTCCCACATTTCCAGGAAATCAGGCGCGTGGGTGGAGAAAAGAAGAAAAAATTTTACATGGAAATTTTTGCTATCAAACAATGCATTTTGTGGAAAATTGAAAAAACTTTCCAACTTCCATAGAAAATATGTGCTATCAAACATAGCATTAGTGTCCAACAAATTTTGAGTGGAACCAACTTCTTGATTTTGGAAAGTTCATGTAGATTTCATATTTTCCTTCACTAGAACATCAAATTAGTATTTTTTTTTTTTTTTTCCGATTCATTTTTTTTTCTTACAACAAAAAATGAATTTCAAAGTGCGCCCAATTTAAGTTGAAAAGTACTGAAAGGAGTTCTATAGAAGCTGGTCTCATATAGGAAAGATAATAAAGCAATTACTTGTTTAAATATGGCTACAAATTTTGAAAAGGTAATTAAGGCTGTTCGTAGGTCGGTTCAGTTCAGTTCTGAAGAGACTCGAACCGACCCAAAAACTTTCAGGTATTTAATAAATGGAACCGTCGGGTCCAAATATAATTATAGAACCGTTCGTGTTCGATTCGGTTCGGTTCGATTCCGTACCATAATTAATTTTTTTAATATTTACAGCAACACTAAATAAATACAATTAATGACATTTCATTCGTAACTTTTACAAATTAACGTAGCCCAATTCAAAAACATATAAATAACTAGCCGTCCAATAAAATTAATTCAANTCATAGGGCTGTCCGTGGATCGGTTCGGTTCGATTATGAAGAGAACCGAACCGACCCAAAAATGATTTGGGCTTTAAAATTAAAATTATGAAATAATCTGATTTATTTAATTAATTTGCTAATTTGTTTAGAAAAAAAAATAATTTAATTAATTCAATATAAAAAATAAAAAAATTATTTAGTTTCGATTCTTATTCGATTCTTCGATTCTTGGTCTAGACCCGAAACCCGACCCAAATCAATCGGTTCTTAATTCGGGTACTCGTTCGGGTATTTAATTTATGAAGAACCACTCAATTCGGTTCGATTTGGTACGGTTCGATTCGAGACTTTTGGACACCTCTAAATGTAATCATGTATAGAATAGATGCATTCTTTTATGCGTGCGGAAGATGCAAATCACAAATTGAATTAGCACCTTATGTCATTGAAATCATGTGCTAGTGTAACCCGTTTTAAGGATATTGTGTATTCCACGTCCAATTTATTATTTTATTCAATACTAATTATTTGGAAAATGGCTACAAAATCCATAAAACTCATGGTCTAAATGTTTAATGTCGAGACGGGCGCGTAATTCCAATAATAATTTATTTCTCTTCGCAAAAGAATATAACATTTTCAAAAGGCATATTTACTATATGAGAAATGCTATTCATCCCTACTGAGAATGCATCCCCAATCTATGTGGCATTAAATAATAGATAAAATTAAATAAGTCATTTAATTTCACCTATCATTTAACCAATCATTTACATCCACATAGACTGAGGATGCATCCTCAGTGAGGATGAATAGCATTTTTCTTACTATATAGGGGGAAACCAAGGGGTTTTCAACCTGCTCAATTATTTTTTCTTTCTTTTAACTTTTTGTTGAATATCTCATTCTAACTCCTTTTATTTTTCGAATATTGGCATTAAAATTATTAATTATTATTACTTTTTTCCAAATTCTATGCTTTTCACCTACGATACATGACAGCCACTTGAAATGAATTGGACCCCAACGTTGGTCATCGAAAAATCTCTGTTGAATGTAGAACAAGTCAACAATTTGACCATTCCACACGTTTGTCTAAAGAGTTGTTTGCGCTCTATTATTTCACATTTTAACGAGAAAAGTAATTTTTTAGAGAATGTGTGATTAAAAAATATATTTTTAGGTTTACATATAATATTATTTTATTGAAAAATGTGTGATTGATAAAAATAGAGAGAAAAATGAATTTTAATTTAGACCCTGTTTGGTTTGGATTAAAATTCAATTAAAATTTCAAGTTAAAGTAAACAATTAATTTTAACCGCACATTTCATAGAATCCACAATATTTCAACCACTCATTTCATTAAAGATTTAATTTCAATCTTTACCCAGCGAAGCAAAATAAAGGAACTCAATACTCGACATTAGTCCCCGAGGGCAGTAGTCATCATGTAACCATAACGACACCCAAAACAGGCTATTTACTCCATGAAATCAAGAAAAACAGTGCCGCTTCCGTGTAATCTTTGTGCATTTGGCACAGATAGCTTTTTTTAAATTAATAAACTCTATTTTATCTTCATATTTGACGGGACATACAATTTTTATCGCTTTTCATAAAATTCACAATTTAGCCCATGTTTGAGCCACATTAAATTTTCGTTCTCATTCTTTTACTCATTTTCAATCGTACATTTTTCAATAAAATAATATTTTTCATCACATCAATAACTTTTCCTTCTTTTTCAATCACACATTCTCCATCAATCTACTAGTTCAAAATACATTCTTTCAAAGTAACGTGACTCAAACACACTCTTATAATCTAATAAATTAATTCGTAAACATAGCACTAATTAATTCTTTTTTGTCCTTTGATTTGATTGTCAGAGCGAAGACACAAGTCCTTGCCTTTTATAGGTATCAACCTTCAACGTCTACTCTTAGCACATGTTTAGCAACAATTAGAATTTATATTTTAATCTAAATCAATAATTAATTTTAATCACATTTCATGTGTTTCACAACTTTTCAACCACACATTTCATCAGCTTTTATCAAAATCTACTAAAAATCTGATTTTAATCCATACCAAACAGGGACTTATTAAGTAGGGAAGAAAAATGGGAGAGCCATTCATCGACTTGGCTCATGCTAGAGGCGAGTTGCGGCCACAAGCCAAGCAACAAAACACTCGTGCGACCCACTCATGTTTTTCAGTTCAAATTAAAAAAAAATAATAATAATAAATTGGCGAGCCACTACTTACCTCTAAGATACCAGATTTTTCAAATATTTTCAAGGGCGATAAAAGATGGGAATTTTTCATAAATGTCATTAAATTTGAAAAGGACAATAAAATTTGTCGTTTTTACTAATGATGCTAAAAAATGTCATTTTTTGTGTGAAATGTCTAATTTACCCTTAGTGACACTTTTTTAGGAGCATTTAATGCTCATCAACGCTTGACTTAAATGTCATTAATGCTATTATGTGATAACTTAATTTTTGTACTATAATTATTTGATATATGTATATTTTATTGGGTAATATGAAT